ATGTTACATTCACATCGTATTCTGCCTCTTCAAGACTGGATGCTCACTACACATATCTAAGGATCGTGGACTTCTCTGTCGACCTGTAATTAACATCAACTTTATGACACAAAAGTGAACACTGAACTCTTTCAGCATTGTTAAGTTCAACATTACATTGGATTTATAGACTATGAAAAAGCATTTGACAGCATTGATAGGGAATCTCTCTGGAAATTGATGGGGCACTATGGAATCTCACAGAAAATTATCAACTTAGTAAAGGCAACATATAAAGACATGAAATGTCGAGTTCTTCATGAGGGAAAGCTAACAGATGCATTTGAAAGAAAAACAGGTGTGCGACAGGGATGTCTTTTGTCACCTCTCTTAATTTTACTGGCAATAGACTGGACTATGAAAACAGTAACTGCTAACACCAAGAATGGAATTCAGTGGACCCCTACAAAACAGCTTGATGATCTGGACTTCGCTGATGATATTGCTCTTCTGTCCCATTCACGGAATCAGATACAAGATAAATTAAATATACTTAATGCGAGATCACAGCAGCTTGGTCTGAAAATCCATAAAGGAAAGACAAAGATAATGAGAATAAATCAGGCAAATAGTAATGTGATTTCTCTTAATGGCACCCCACTCCAAGACGTGGAGTCGTACACCTATTTAGGCAGTAATGTAGATAAAGATGGAGCAACTGATAGAGATATTAAAATAAGAATACAAAAGGCAAGAGGGGCTTTCATAGCACTAGGGAATTTGTGGAGGTCAAAAGAAATTAAAAGAAATACTAAACTAAAAATTTTTAATTCTAATGTCAAATCAGTACTATTGTATGGGGCGGAAACATGGAGAACAACCAAGGCAATTACTAATAAATTACAGACATTCATTAACTGGTGCCTGCTCAGAATAGAGGGAATAAAATGGTATGATAGAATAACTAATGTAGAACTTTGGGAGAGAACTAAACAGGCTCCAGTGGATCAGGAGGTGAGGAAAAGACGCTGGCGTTGGATAGGGCACACACTGAGAAAACAGGAGAACAGCATAACTAGAATGTCTTTGCATTGGAACCCACAGGGGCATAGGAATAAAGGAAGGCCAAAAAACACATGGAGAAGAGAGCTAGAGAATGAGGTTAGAAAGATTGGGAGGACATGGGGAGAGCTCCATGCAATGGTGAAGGATAGAACGACTTGGCATGGTTGAGGGCCTATGCTCCATTGGGGGATAGAAAGGCAGAAGAAGAAGAAGTTCAACATACATTCATAAATGAATTAATCAACAACTGACATCACTGCACTTGAGGCATTCCCATACGCGCTCTGTCCCCTTCTGCAGTAGCCAACAAAGAGTTCCCACACTTATGCCGTCAGTTGCAATTTGATTACAAGACCACCCCCTGGGCGCTAAAAAAAATCCAGACCCTTTGCCTTCTCCTCGCTAAATCATTCTCTGAAGGTATGGATGTTCTGCTTCACGTTCCCTGTGATCCCAGAGTCTTCAACATGTTTTATCATAAAGCAGCTCACCACTCAGAGGAGCAGTGGCAGCCAATCTATCAGCCTGCTCATTACCCCATATACCAGGGTTATTGCAAATGATGGATACACTTTCATTCACGTAGAGTTCCCTGAATATACACTGAATATGAATAGTATGCAAATAAGAGAGACGGAAAGGTCTAAAGTTTACATACCACCTCTATCAACAAATCTGGTCCACCTGCAAGACTGTATCACAGCTGCAGTGAACTTAGTTACACAAGAGATACTTCTCTGTGTATGGGGTGAGTTCAGCTATTGCTTAGACGTTTGCCAAGCAGCAGAGGGCGGCCATAAAGAAGCTGATCCATGAAGAAAATTGACTGCCCATACCAAAAGTAGACAATCTACATTCATTGGTCGTGTCATGAAAAGAATAAAAATGGAGTACATCTCGATGCTGGGAAAGTTGGAGGGGAAAAAGAGGTAGGTGGCGACCGAGAGAGAAGATGCTGGCAGTCTGACATCATGGCATGGAAGATATTTGTGTCAAAAATGATTGAAAGTACACGAGACAGAAGGTTGTGGATAGACATGACCGCCAACGTCATACAGCATGGACTATAAGAAAAAGCTATACTCACACCCCTGTCGCCGTTTTAACTGCACTCGTTTATCATCATCCTTACTCCTGCGTGGTGACACAAGTCTACACAATTGGGATGCCTAGAGACATGAAAGATACAGTTATTTTACACCTACAAATACAATGTTTTACATTTATCTTTATACTCTTTTGGTCTCAGGCAGTTATCATTTTGATACTTCCTATCCTTAAGTGTGTGTAATTTAGAGAAGTAAGAACAGGTGCTGGAACCTGGCAGCTCAGCCACAACAATAATTGTTTTTAAGTGAATAGAAGACACCCCCCCCCTTTCCTATTAAACCATGTATACAAATTATCTTTATTTGTTTATACCTTTCATTATATTGAATTGCCATTCACCACATTACTAATATATATACCGGTGGATGCTTTGGTACATGGGCTATATGCTCACCTACGGATTGGAAGATCATCATTGGTTCAGGTGCTGGCAGAACCTGACCTTTTTTTTTTTTAAATGACCTTGCTTCCCAGGTTGACCCAACCTTGAGCGAATACCAGGTAAAGTCCTGGGAAGTAAAGCAGCTGGTGTGATGCTGACCACATCACCCACCAACTGCTAAGTGGTCTATAAAATATAGGTCTATCCCTATATGCATCAAAACACCGAAAGGAGTAAAAAGGGGTCCTTATTTAACTTATATATATATATATATATATATATATATATATATATAATATATATATATATATATATATATATATATAGATATATATATATATATATATATATATATATATATATATATATATATCTATATGTATATGTATATATATATATATATATATATATATATATATATATATATATATATATATATATATATATATATATATATATATATATACATATAAATATATATACACACACACACACATAAAATATATATGTGTGTGTGTATATGTATAATTTCAAGTAAATAATATATATATATATATATATATTTGTGTGTGTGCGTGTATTAGGGCTATACTGAATATTCGCTTGGGGGCCAAATAGTGGACCTAATAACTATTTGGTATTCGGCCGAATACTTGCGGTCAGGTTTAATATGAATAATGGTTACCTTACACCCGTTTCTGCATACACTGCGATGGACTGAAATAACTATCTCATTAACACAATAGTTGCTGTTGCCTAAGTCTGTCGTAGCGGGGGAAACTGCGACCCGGTACAGCAGCTGGCAAGGTCTTTCCCTGCTGACTCGACCAAGGTATTACAGCAGAGGTTCTCAAACTGGGTGTGTATGCCAGGGGTGCCGCAGGCGAAAATTAAGAAAAGTCGACCATCAATGGTGACATTATTAAAGAAGGCATAAAGATATTTAAAAGGGGAAATTTAAATTGTCTTTCCTCGCTACTGGCGAGAAGAGTTTTTCCTTGTTTCACACTCAAAGTGTATCATACCACATAAAATGCCAACCGTAGTGTGCTAAAAATTGTCTTTGTATTTATTTCGAGGTGCAACCGATCCTCCATCTGTATTTGTGAAGGTGCAGCGGTAAGGTTTTGATTACATTTTGGCTGAAATTTTAAAGTGGAAAATGTGGTCTGTAACTGTTAGCCTCGTCAAATAAGCACTTATATTTTAAGGTAATGCGTTGTGAGTGCTGAACATTCGGTAGGCAGGCCAAACAATTTCTTGAGGCCTCAGAGATGTGGTTTTACAGAACGTAGCTTAAAATATCTTGGACAGCCCAAAAAAAAAAGCAACCAAGAGGTTTTGAAAGGGACGGGAGCCCGAAGGCAACTAATCACAGACATCAGAAGGAGACAGTCATAATTTTTCGGCCATGTTATGAGAAGATGGAAAATGAAACATGTGGTGACTAATGGAAAGATCTGTGGAAGAAGAGATAGAGGAAGATAACGAGAGAAGATACTTAACAGTCTTGTTGCATGGCATGGAAGTGTGTCAGCACACGAACTAATACATGCTGCAGGAGATCGCATATTGTGGAGAGGCATAATTGCCCACGCCAGTCGGCAAGGCACCTAATGATGATGATACACTATTTGTATTTGGTCTTTGACATAAATTGAGGCATTGTTGCCATATTACAATAAAAAGTGTAGATGAGATTTGTGACTTCTAGACAATTCATTGTATTAGTATCAGAGACTCGTGAGAAGCATGCAGCTAACAAGACATCATCATCAACACCACCACTATTGACACGACCATCTTTCTCCTCGTCTATAATCCTCAGATCAGCTCCTCTTGTAGCAAACCTAAAGACGAACCTGGGTGTGACATCAACATACGTAACAAAGTAGACAGCTGTGCTACAACAGATTTCAACGTAAACTGCCGTACTCCAAAAGCACACAGCTCTCGTCAGCCTGTCATCTAATATAAACTGCCAACAGATTTTAACATAAACTGCCAGTAAATTGCTCCAGCATAAACCGCTAACACATTTTTATATAAACTGCTCATAAATCTCTCATACACCGCCAACGCATTTCAATATAAATTGCCAATAAACCTATAAAATTCATTGCCAACAGATTTTTACATAAACTGTCAATGCATCTCTCATACACTGCCAACAGATTTTTATATAAACTGTCAATGCATCTCTCATACACTGCCAACAGATTTTTATATAAACTGTCAATGCATCTCTCATTCACTGCCAACAGATTTTTATATAAACTGTCAATGCATCTCTCATACACTGCCAACAGATTTTTATATAAACTGTCAATGCATCTCTCATTCACTGCCAACAGATTTTTATATAAACTGTCAATGCATCTCTCATACACTGCCAACAGATTTTTATATAAACTGTCAATGCATCTCTCAAACACTGCCAACTTATTTTTTACATAAACTGTCAATGCATCTCTCATACACTGCCAACAGATTTTTAAATAAACTGTCAATGCATCTCTCATTCACTGCCAACAGATTTTTATATAAACTGTCAATGCATCTCTCATTCACTGCCACCAGATTTTTATATAAACTGTCAATGCATCTCTCATTCACTGCCAACCGATTTTTATATAAACTGTCAATGCATCTCTCATTCACTGCCAACAGATTTTTACATAAACTGTCAATGCATCTCTCATACACTGCCAACAGATTTTTATATAAACTGTCAATGCATCTCTCATACACTGCCAACAGATTTTTATATAAACTGTCAATGCATCTCTCATTCACTGCCACCAGATTTTTATATAAACTGTCAATGCATCTCTCATTCACTGCCAACCGATTTTTATATAAACTGTCAATGCATCTCTCATTCACTGCCAACAGATTTTTACATAAACTGTCAATGCATCTCTCATACACTGCCAACAGATTTTTATATAAACTGTCAATGCATCTCTCATACACTGCCAACAGATTTTTATATAAACTGTCAATGCATCTCTCATACACTGCCAACAGATTTTTATATAAACTGTCAATGCATCTCTCATTCACTGCCAACAGATTTTTTATATAAACTGTCAATGCATCTCTCATTCACTGCCAACAGATTTTTATATAAACTGTCAATGCATCTCTCATTCACTGCCAACAGATTTTTATATAAATTACCAACAAATCTCTAACATAATAACCAAACAAATGATGAATGCTTGTGATATTGAAAGAGTTGCAGAAGCTAATATTTCTCATTTAAAGGAACTGTAGGACTGTAAGTAACAAAATTTTGCAAAACTGGCACCTAAAATTTCCAACAAAACCATTTGTCCCCCCAGCACAGATAGACAAAAAGTATGCGTCTAGTGGGCAGTAACGAAATGGCATAGTATTTTATTGCAGGCATCCTTAGAAGGTGAATTGTTCTTTATGTGAAAAGTAAATTTGTAGGTATGAAGATATTGCAGAGTCGCTGGTGTTATTGCTGGATTTGTCTCTAGTAAGCTAATTTTTTAATATGTATGTATGCTGCATGCAAAACTTCACTCTTTGTTCAGACTAGGACCCTTGTTGTGACCGCTTGTTAATTATATCAAAGTCTTCTATATGGAATATGTCTTGGCTCAGTGTATGATGTCAGTAGTACACCAGATACACAGTCTGGTCTCAGTGTATGATGTCAGTAGTACACTGGATAGTCTTGCCTCAGTGGATGATGTCAGCAGTACACCAGATACAGTCTTGCCTCAGTGGATGATGTCAGTAGTACAACAGATACACAGTCTTGCCTCAGTGGATGATGTCAGTAGTGCACTGGATAGTCTTGCCTCAGTGGATGATGTCAGTAGTACACCAGATACACAGTCTTGGCTCAGTGGATAATGTCAGTAGTACACCAAATACAGTCTTGCCTCAGTGGATGATGTCAGTAGTACACTGGATAGTCTTGCCTCAGTGGATGATGTCAGTAGTACACCAGATGCACAGTCTTGGCTCAGTGGATAATGTCAGTAGTACACCAGATACACAGTCTTGCCTCAGTGGATGATGTCAGTAGTACACTGGATAGTCTTGCCTCAGTGTATGATGTCAGTAGTACACCAGATACACAGTCTTGCCTCAGTGGATGATGTCAGTAGTACACCATATACACAGTCTTGGCTCAGTGGATGATGTCAGTAGTACACTGGACAGTTTTGCCTCAGTGGATGATGTCAGTAGTACACCAGTTATACAGTCTTAGCTCAGTGGATGATGTCAGTAGTACACTGGGCAGTTTTGCCTCCAGTATATGATGTCAGTAGTACACCTGATACAGTCTTGTCTCAGCGTATGATGTCAGTAATACATCAGATACACAGTCTTGTCTCAGTGAATGATGTCAGTAGTTCACTGGATACAGTCTTGGCTCAGTGAATGATGTCAGTAGTTCACCAGATACACAGTCTTGGCTCAGTGTATGATGTCAGTAGTACAGCCAGTAGCTAAATCAGCTCACTAATTTTCAGTGAATTATGTGGATATTCTCCAGCTGAATTATAAGTAGTTTATGTTGTTATGTCTGTTTGTATGTTGTTCTGTCTATTTTGAGCTGAAAATGTAACAGCCCCCCCCCCCCCTCCCCCTCCCCCCCCCCCCCCCCCCCAAATTCTAGAAATTTTTATTATTACTTTTCATTTAAGAACTAATACATTTTAAGAAAAGATTATACAAGCCTATCAACTGTATATGCTACATTAATTAATATTGAAATTTTTTTCTCTAGTGTTCTCTTTTAGTTTGTATATGTGGATATGCCTATATATGCGCTATATTCTCGAGTCTATTCCTAGAATTTTTGTGGTGAGTACTTAGGAGATGAGGGGGAACACACTGAAAAAAGCGGGACCGTCAGAGGGAACATGTCAGGCTGATGACGTCATCACCACGGCCCTTTAGCTACAGATGGTCTTGGTCTAGGTCTGTTACGCCCAATAGACTTATAGGCACGGGAAAATGTCTCTTTTTTTTTCATCATTATCATAGGGCACTTAAACAAGATTTAGAGACCTTAAGCCTTCCCCCCCCCCTCCCCGAAAATTGTACGGGAGCAGAAGTCCACACCCCCCTAGCAGCCTGCTTATATGACTTCTCAGTTTATATTTTTTTTAGGCTGTAGAGTGTAGACTAAGTCTCATTTCAATCACTCACGTCATCGTCAATTTGAGATCTCCGGAGTAACTTCCACAAAGTCAGGGCCAGTAAGCTACCGGCAGAGGCTACAACGATGCCAACAAGCAGGTGGAAGCGATTCAAGGATCCATGGCTGGAGTCTATGAATGCCATCTGTCGGGGACCAAGTTTTGGACCCAGCCACCATCTCAAACTTGAGCAAACGTCGGACGCCTTGAAATCTCGGACCGGAACATGGAGGTGGGGAAACTGTGATCGGGCGTTTCGGTGAAACAAATGTTTTATTCTCTCTCTCTCTCTCTCTCTCTCTATATATATATATATATATACTTTCTCCCTCTCTCTATCTCTCTCTGCTCCCTTCTTCTCCTTATCTCACTCTCTCCCCAATCTCCCACTAAAGTATCTTCCCTGTGGCAGCTTGTGAGTGTGAGTCAAGGACTTCACTCAATCATTAAAGAAAAAACTCAATGCTTTTGAAGAAAAACAAAAACATTTATATCCTACCTGATCTGAGTATCAAGGAGAATTGGCTCATAAACAACGTTCTATGGATAGAAGCAGAGTTATTTTAGCCATGTTAAGCGTCATGGTTGCGAGAAAAAAACGAACGAGCGAACAAACGAACTTTATTTTCAAAAGGTCACAAATTAGGCACACAGGCCTTTCTTACATTCGGCTCTTCCAAACTCCCATCTTTCACTTAGCAGCTTTATTTCATCAATAAAGCATGTTATGTTCATGTAATAATATGCTTATTGTGAATATCAAGTCAAAAACAAAAGCATGGGTGGTAAAATATGAGCGGACGCTCGCGCGCGAACACACACACCCACATACACGCAAACCCATTCACTCACTTACACACACATACATATAGGCACCCAATACACACATACACCCACATACAAACGAACATACACACACAGACATGCGTACATACACACGCACATGTGCATACACACACATACATACACACATACATACTGTTGTGTGCTAACTGAGCTACAACTAGCCAGCACACTACCAAGCGTCCAACAGGTACACTTTCGATTCCTCTCTTAGAGACAGAACTCGACGACCATGACTCCGTCATACATTTTATTCAGCAGGTTACATGACACAACTGCAGAGACGTAGCTATTGATCCAAATTGACATTCGCCTATAGTCCATTTAGTTATCACTTCCTTGCCCTCTACAGCTCCCAAGGCCCACAGCGTCCACAACTCTGGCACGCCGTACAGCTGAATAAGTCGAATTCTCCTATCCACTGGAGACGGACTTCCCTTGCCGTACTCCAAAAGCACACAGCTCTCGTCAGCCTGTCGAATGACTCCGATGACCGACAGGACTTCTTACACAAGTAATATCTAGCACACAGCTCTCGTCGGCATCACCCCCTGTTCTGTTTCCGTAGTGACCCTACGTCTCCTCGCGTCGTCACCCAGAACAGTAACTATTGGAGCATCCAGTCCCCGTGGACTGACTTCACCAGCGGAACTATACCTTCGACCAGAACTGCAACCTCAACCCTTACTCAGACCTTGATGTCTGATAGTTGTACGGTACTCTGTTATACTTGAGAGAGATAATCACTGACCCTAACTTGGTCTCCCCCCCCCCTCCTATCTCTCTCTCTCTCTCTCTCTCTCTCTCTCTCTCTCTCTCTCTCTCTCTCTCTCTCTCTCTCTCTCTCTCTCTCTCTCTCTCTCTCTCAGTCTTGCTCTGACTCTCGCACTCAGACGCGCTGGGTGTGTACTACACCCGCACTACCCAAGTGCTTTAGCCCTGTGGCTACAGCTCACTGACTCGGACTGTCTACGCAGCAGCCCCAATTTACATCCATCCATCCATCCATCCATCCATCCATCCATCCATCCATCCATCCATCCATCCATCCATCCATCCATCCATCCATCCATCCATCCATCCATCCATCCATCCATCCATCCATCCATCCATCCATCCACACACACACACACACACACACACATACATACATACATACATACATACATACATACATACATACATACATACATACATACATACATACATACATACATACATACATACATACATACATACATACATACATACATACATACATACATACATACATACATACATACATACATACATACATACATACATACATACATACATACATACATACATACATACATACATACATACATACATACATACATACATACATACATACATACATACATACATACAGATACATACATACATACATACATACATACATACATACATACATACATACATACATACATACATACATACATACATACATACATACATACATACATACATACATACATACATACATACATACATACATACATACATACATACATACATACATACATACATACATACATACATACATACATACATACATACATACATACATACATACATACATACATACATACATACATACATACATACATACATACATACATACATACATACATACATACATACATACATACATACATACATACATACATACATACATACATACATACATACATACATACATACATACATACATACATACATACATACATACATACATACATACATACATACATACATACATACATACATACATACATAACTACATACATACATACATACATACATACATACATACATACATACATACATACATACATACATACATACATACATTACATACATACATACATACATACATACATACATACATACATACATACATACATGCATACATACATACATACATACATTACATACATACATACATACATTACATACATACATACATACATTACATACATACATACATACATTACATACATACATACATACATACATACATACATACATACAT